TATCTCACCCAGCCTACTGCGGCTGGTCAACCATTGCTCCCAATCCGTCCTGTCCTGCTCGTCCAAGGGTTGATCCCACTCTGCCCTTTTTCGACAAAATTTTTGGAGGAGGACCTTCCCCGGCAGCAGCCACGGTGCGACAAAACCAAGTGTGTCATATAAGCTGGGTACCGACGATAGCAACCATTGTCGGTTGGGATTCCGCTCAGGTAGCTTTAGTTGAAAGATGAACTTGTCTGAATGCGCGCTCCATCGCACCCCCAAGGTTGACTTGATAGGGAGTGGCTGTGTGGTTATGTTGAGAGCCCCACTCACTCTGTCAGTTAGCAATCGCAGGGCATGGTGCTGATCCTCTGGTATCTTAATTTGGAGGAACATCTCTTGTATGTCGGCTGCCACTGCCACTGCTCCTAGCCGGAATCGGTTGAGCACGTCAATCAAGGGAGTGGTCCAGTCCGGTCCCTGAAACATACAATCGTTAAGGGAGAGACCGCTGTATCGCGCCGCATTGTCGAGTACTACGCGTATCGTCCCTGGTTTTCTGGGGGTTGTTACAGAGTAGTGGGCAGGTAACATAATCTTTGCCCGCGTGGTTGTGAACCGTCCAATCGTTCTATGTATCCCAGTTGCACGTTCCGTTGCATTGCCGCGGCGTATTGTCGACAGAGTTCTGTGCCCCGGACCAGTCGCCTTTTAAGGTCCTCCAACCTTTGGAGGCCGTTCCCGTGGTTGTTTGGCAATCGGCCGTATCCCGTTCTCCATGACAACGGCACCTCGAACCAGTAGGGCTGGCATCGTGTCCCCATTTCGATTATTGCTAACGCCTGGTTGTCTACTAGTCGTTCAATTAGTCGAACTCATTATCGTACATCCTTTGGAGAGCTTGTTCGATCGTATCGTTGCCAACGGTGATGGTGCAGTTAACTGACAACGGTTTACGGTTTGCGCATGTAGCGGTCCAAAAAACGTCCACCCGAGAATGGTGTGGGCAACATTTGATTCCTTTCTGCCGCCCAGTCTCTGGTCCAGGACCCAGTGTGCTTCTGGCACATCACATTCTATTAGCAAATGGACATCGGGATAGTCGGCTTCTTTAAAATACAAATCTCGCAGGTGTGGCCAGCGCGTTTTTAATTCCCCAATCGATTCCACTGCTCGCATCGGCAAGTCGGCGATGGTGAAAGCTTCCGTCACCTCTGCTCGTTCACCATTATCTAGCAAAACCAATGTCAGGTTTGCTTGGTCGATGGAAGTCGCCTTGGTACCGTTCATCGTGCTGATAGTCGGAAAAGATGTTAGGGTTATGATGTTTCTTACGGCGAAGCGTTTGGTGATCAACGTGGTATCGGATTCGTTGTCAATAAACTCCATGGCTTTCACCAGCCCACCTGGTGTTGATATGCCCACTGGTGTTACCCCGAGACAGAACCTGCTTGTCCGCCGATTGAGATAGTAGACACCCTTGGTTTTTGGGGTGCCGGTAACTGAGTTTCTCTTATGGAGTGCAACGGAGTAGGATGGCCTCCTTGACACCCCTTTTCGCTGCATCTGCCCCGGTTCCTGCAGGCGGCCCCACGATGTGAGCTGTTAAAACGGATAAAGCACACCATGCCTCTTGTCTGCTTCCCAACGTTCCGGAACTTCTAGTTGCACAAATGTGTCGCACGCGGATAAATTGTGATTCAAACGACACATAGGGCAACTACGTGTGCCACGTTCCTCTACTGTTGCATAATTGTTTGAGCTTCTGGAACTTCTCGGGATCTCGTAGATTCGTTCTTTGGCGTGATGTCTCTCTTCTCGCCTACTCATGCTGGCCAGTTGTACGAAGAAATTGCTAGAGATCTTGGCAAGGTTTCGGATGAATTCCGTTAGCTCGGTGAAGTTCGGTTCCCCCGCTAAACGGCCAATAACCACCGCATTCTCCGCCCACCACTGCTGTATATCAGCCAGTATGCATCGTAATAATGCCTCTAGGGTGTGTAGTGCGTTCAAATCAGCTTCGTAATTCATTTAAGTCACGGCAATGAAACAGTTTTACATCTTCATTACCAGTCTCACCAACGATTCGGGCTCGTTTCTCGATTTACAGGCCTCGGCTAGCACCCCGTCTATGAGCGTCCGTGACACGTGAAACGGTTGACCAAACAGTTCCTTTAGAATGTCCCTTGCTTGGTTATACCTCATTTTGTTTGGCAGCATTGCAAATTCTTCGAGAGCGTCCCGGGCCTTCCCGCGGCAGTAATGCTTTAGATACAGGGATTTCTGCCCTGGATCGGCAACCCAACACTCGACGAAATTATCAAATTCTCTAATAAATCTCCAATAGTTTCTGAGGTTCCCGTCGAATGGCGTTGGCTTTACTTTGGGCAGGTCTATCGAAATGTGGCGGTACTTTACTTCAATCGGTGGTTGAGCCACTTCCGACGTCAGTCTAATGGGCAGAGTTTGTTTTTCCGTCTCGGCGTGCTTAGTCGAGCAAGGATGCCTAGCTTCTGATTCCCTGCGCTTTATCGACCAAATCTCCTGCTCTAACTCCACAATCCTACGGAGATATATATCAGACATCTCAACATCAGTATCACGTGAAATCCCAGCACTTACAGGAAAATGTGAGAATCAGGAATTTCCCCAAATTCCCCAGTGAGTTGCCGGGTTACTTCTTGTCCTTCCTCGTCGATCCTTCCCTTTTCGAACGACATTCTCTTGTTCCCAATTGTGCAAATTTTGAAAAACTGTCTCAGGAGTAGAGCAACGAGTAACGCGTAGCCGAAATTGGATCTCATAACGTCAACAAAACGAACGATCCAGTAAGTTTCTGCGGTAATGCATTTATAAACGATCAAATTCATGCACCCGTGGCTCAGTTGGGCGCGTGATTCGATCTGCACGTGAGCTTAGGTTTTGTTTGTACATATATGTTCATTTATATATAGATTACTGGTAGAATTTGCTCCCGTTACTGTTTAGGCAATTGTGTAATTGCAACATACTCCAGATTTATAATCTGCCCGCCTCGCCATCCCAACTTATCCTCCGATTCCAACTTGCTTCTATAATTATCGACTGGTCTTTCCCCTTGCACTACTAGTCTATTTACTTAAATTTGTTGATTGCGCTGCACCCTAATCAACGTGTAATAAGTTATCGCTTGCTTTGGATATATCCAAAACATTCCATTTACCACTCTCCATTGATGATGTTCCCATCTCTCAAGTACTTAAAACTGTTTCGGTTCTCCCTGAGCACTCTCAATCCTTGTCCCATTTTATTCGTTCCACGTAGGATCCTGCTCAACAATGATAACATACCAGTGCGCGGAACCAAACGTGCTTTGAAGGCCTCTAACCTCACTCTCACCCTACCGCGCTGTACCATACCTCTAATTAATGTCTTAGATAACGTAAATAGGAAAGCATCCCGCTGGAGCGTGATCTAACGACCATCTCATCAGAGTTAGCCAGCATCAATGAGGTTATCGCCAAACTCGCCCCACTTATACTACTACTCGATTCCCCCCTTCCCAAATCAACCAATCCCATCTACTCTCTGTGGGTAAATTTGTTGACAGTATCACAACGGAAGTTTGCGACCGTTTGTCTAATGCAAAAATGCCCTTGTGCACAACGTTCCTGATAAGATACCGCTAGAAAACATCAAAACCCTTCTACTTAGAGCTTGTGGCATGGAAATGCAGCCGTGTCACTGTATTCGACTCAGGAAGAACAGTCCACGCTACTCCTGTCCCCTTCTATTTAAATTCGCTGATGAATCGTCAGCCAAACACTTCATAAGCCGGCAATCCACAGTCGCCGCAAATACGAGCTTAAAGTGGATAAAAAGCCTACAGGACAAAACCGCCTTGCAAAGAACCCTACTTAGGCAATCACAAACAATTAACTCACCGAAGTCTACAGTGACCCCACCGAACAGACCTATCCCCGTCCCTTCCACTGACTGCACGCCTAAATCCCTTGATCAAGCTAGATCTACATCCACTGTTGACTTCGATCACACACCCTCCCTCAAACAACCCATGCCCAAACGGCGAAACCTAGCACCGAACTTGCCTCAACCGAGGCCCAGCCCCTCACCGATTCCCAGCACCTCCCACGCCCCAGTCAAACATAGCAGACTTTCCCTCCTTATAAAGTATCTAAATATCCCGCAACTTATTCCTCTCTTTAAAGACCCCATACAGAAACCCCTGGGCACCCCTGGCTCTACCATCTCTCCTTACCCAGTCAGCAACACAGCCACACCATGCCCTATACGTGGCCTCCAGATGGCTTCTTGTGTTGCCCATCCACATTCGCCGCGCGCTATTGGCCCCTCTTCTGCTTCACCTCTAAACCCAAATCTCACCTATAATCTGCCAAACGCCCGCGAGAATCTGCCCCTCAACCCGTACGCGGCACTCCGTTAACCCCCCTCCCCTGATAGTTTATTACTACATAGACCACCCGCAACCACCCTCTCCATGCACTAACTGTTTCACCACAATAAGCCTTTCACATCTATAGGATCACGCGAGTTACCCGCGGTGTACCGCCCTCAGCAGCCCATCCTGACCCCTGACTGGTACCAACAACCATTAATTTAACCGACCCCATCGCACTCCCTCTCTAATAACGACTCAACCTTCGTCTTAGAGCTACCGCGTCATCCACCGTTCTATGATAATAGGACGACTGATTTCTGAGGTGCAACTCCGAACCTCCCTATACCACAACAGCTGTCCCGGCCGCATAACCTTACACACCCCGCGCACTGTGCTGTCCTCCCCCCCCAACGGACTACCCTCCCACCAACACTCTTTTTCAATACCAGCCTCGCTGGGCTCAACCTCCGCCGCCCTACCCTGCCCAAATCGCACATCGGCCGTCAAAACTCCTTCAGCATTCCACCCACCCGAGTACGGCCAATTTCGCCTATCTTTCTAGCCCATCGTTTCAACCCTACCTTTAGTTCACCCTCCCACCGTTCACCACTTCATTACTCGCCCATGATACACCCAGCTGGCGACCCATTGACACCCTACCACATAGATTTTACTCCCACATTCATCAATCACCCCTACCCACCACCGCAAACTTCACTTTCATCTCCATCTAACCATTCAACCAGAAACAGTTCCCTACCCATTGATGCACCCACCTCACCTTTTACTGCAGGAAACCATACTACAGTGCTGTGTATACAATCCGGACCTGAAACAAATCCGCACTCCTTACTCCTCACAAAAGCCCGTTCCATATTTGGGAAACTCAATTCACTACGCACTAGCTGTCTCCCTTAACCCGGAGACAATACTGATTACAGAAACCTGGCTTTCTGAGAGTACTCCTGACGCCCTGTTTACTCTAACCGGCTATAACCACTTCACAAAATGCAGACCCGAACGTGGGGGTGGTTGTGTAATTTACGCAAAATCCATCTTCTCGGCTTCATACTGCGTTCACCCGATGTTGGAAGCTGTTGAAGAGTCAGTCTGGGTAAGCATGCAATTGGTTGACACATCCCTCTATATCGGTTATGTCTAAAGGCCCCCTGGTCTCACTGTCTCTGGGTTCTCACCAATCATCAGTGAATTCAATCACCTAGCACAGTTACCCTGTGCCTCTAAGCTCATCGCTGGTTATTTCAACGCACCCAACATCGATTGGATTAGCCTCATCTCTTCCCATTACCTAACTGACTTTGTGTCACGTGTTCGCGCTGGGCTCTGGACACAGCATGTACCTCCCCAAACCAGACTCAATAACACACTGGACCTTGTTTTACCCATGGACTTGCAATAAGTGCAACGAGTACACTGAACCACTTCTCGGGTAGCGACCATAGGGTGGTGTCTTGTAACTTTCCACTTGTCCCCTATAACATGCCATACCGCACCCCAACTAAATTGTTCCCCCATTCCCACTGGGAACTTCTTCCCCCACTTCGTGAAACCCCCTAGGATGATTTCTTTTTAACCCAGGACCCCTCAACTGGCAAAAAATGTATTATATCTTAAGCTCAGGCATTGCCTGAATCTGATCACCACCTACTGTAGTCATGTTAAACATTCGAGCTCAGATAGTTTAACCGCTCTGCACAAAAAGTACCAAACAATCCAATCCTCATTCGCTAGTTCGCGTGATATCTCACACCTTATGATTCTACACAAGCTCTGTGCAGACATCCGCACAACCACTGAAAAAGTGCACAAAAAACAAGAAGCTGCCGCCTTAAATAACCCTCACAAAATCTCCCTCATATCACGTCTGATAAAAACCAGAAATTTCCTTTCCCAACCCGGTATCCCTTACTTGACTCTACCTAATGGCACAGTAGCTGATACCTCCGCCAGAACTGCAGAAGCATTCAATTTGTTGTTCACTTCCTCCATGACCACCCACTGTGACAGTGGTCAATCGCCAATCGCCCCCTAACCTCACACACATTGTCCAGAATGGAATTTTCTCTACACGACGTGAATACTGAGGTTCTGAAAATAAAAGCTGTCTCTAAATCTTGCAGCGATGGAATACCACCGGCGCTGCTACGTCTCGGTGGTCCCGACGTTGTCCTCTTATTTATGAACGTCTTCAATCTTTCGCTGAAAAATGGCACCTTTCCATTTCAATGGGAGACTTATGTCATTACCCCTCACCATGAGAGAGGTCATCGTAATGACCCTTCCAACTTCCGTCCCATCCATCATACCACAGATATTTCGAGGCTCTTTGAGCGCCTTGTCAAATCGCGACTTTCTGATTACCTAATGTTCCTCAACCTTATCCACAACAGTCAACATGGCTTCCTCAAAAATAAATCTTGAAACACCTGCCAACTGGATTAGCTTAATACGATCACTTAAGCTGCTTTACAAGGCTGTTGTCAGGCCGCATCTGGAATACTGTGTCCAAGCATGGTCACCG